GCCTGTTCTGCTCCCCACTCTGTCTCCGGTGAAGCTCTCGCCACCCCTGAGCCTCTGGCCTGTACCCCAGTTCTGTATGTACAAATAAATAAATCTTTAAAAAAAAAAAAAAAAGAATTCCACCTGAATGGGATCAAAAACGTTGGGGGGAGGGAAATGCACTGGACTATGGTGATGGCACACGGGTAATTTGGTGATGGGAAGCCCACGGGGATGACAACTGAGATGGAAAAAGGCACCAAATGATGTAAAAATAAACTATTATATATAAAAAAATAATTCCCCCTACCATCACTTATTCTTTCCCACCACTTAGTAAGTTCGCTTCTCATTTTTTCTTCTGGTATGTGTCAAGATTTTACTGGTACACTCAGAATTCCTGGTTTGGCTTGATACTCTGTGGTAAATAGATCATGTGGATTTATGTTGAAACTTTTCACTCTCTGCACATCATTGGAAATTTTGAATCTTCCTTGCTCAATCATACCCAATATACAGTCTCTGTTCATCCACACCTCTGCAACAGCAGAATGGAACCCTTTCTTCCTGCCACAGCTGCAGTCTGGAACGTGAACTCCCATGGACTCACCATAAAAGTGCTCCGCAAGCAGAGCCACGTCATCCCCCTGCGCCAGCGTCCTTGGGCTCCAGAGAATCCAGACCAACTCCCACCAGATTCTACCAAATACCCATCCCAGGTCTCTGACATGGGGCCAAATGCCTCTGGACACAGAATTTGCAGAGAACATTTCCTGGGCTGCCAGCTGGGTGGCACTGTAATAACCACTGACCTTTGACCTTTCAAGGTAAGTTTAAAGTTGCCCTTTGTTGCAGAGAATGTTCTTCGTGCATTAAGACTCAAAGGGGGTTCCCACTGGAAGAAACTTTAGGAATCAACTCATCTCTCCCTGGGGACCTTCATGGTGAGAGCTTACAAAATTGGATCCCGTAAGATTTTCATCTTTAAGAGGGCAGTAAAGATTCGCTTTCTCATGACCCCGAACAGCTCTAATGTGTCTGTCACTGGCACTCCCACTCTTGTTCTTCACTTATCTTCCCTTCACTTTCTTCATGCTCCTGGTCCCCCTAAAGACAGAGACGATTCCCCCAAGGTACAGCATCTTCAGGCTTTCCCTCATCACATTTCACATGCCAACCAAATACCCAGATCTTAACACAAGTGGACATGGTGTCGGGGCGTCCATGGGAAAATCAAGCCTATCAGATTGCAAAGTCAAGCCAGGATGAGACAGAAGAATCCTTGCAGAAATTTATAACCACTTCTCATTGTATAACACAAGGTTCATCAGACGACATTCTGCTGTGAAACCATTTAGTGTTCTCTGATTAAGAGTTCACCCCAGAGGTTAAGTGCTCTTAGTAGAGATTAAGCTCCTGCCTACCCTTTCCTGCCCCACAACCCCACATCTCCATCCCTGAAGTTGCATGCCCAGAGGTTCTCCTGGTGCACAGAGACTGTATTTCCTACCGCTCATCTCTCCACCTGCAGAAGCATCTCTTAGTGATGAGTGTTCCTACAGTTTGATTCTGACTCTGCTAATTTCCTAATTATAGGGATAGATTTTCTGCCTCATTATTCTAAGTAGTTATATTTCACTTAGGCTCAGAGAAAGGAGCCACCAAATGGGGCTTGAACTTTTTCATCCAGTGTAACCTTCATTTCCTTGTGATTTTAATTACAGCAGTAAAATAAATAAGCAACACTGCAAACAATAGAAGGCATTTGTTAGAAGGGCATTAACAAATGATACTGTAACAGTGATTATTTTCGTAGGTTAGAAACCAATGCGTTAGCCACTGAAATGTTTAAAAATAGCTCGGTTTAAATGATAATGGGATAATCTCTTCGGATTTCAAAAATGTAAGGGTTGCTTTTTTTTTTTCACCTCAGTGGCTCATGCAAAATTGGGAAGGCCGGAGAAGGAGAGGAGGCAACCCAGACTGCCAGGCACGGAGGCTTGAAGGTCTGACGAGTCAGCAGGCCTCATCGGAGTTGTGGCTGGCTATGGGTCTCAGCACTCAAGCCATCTCAAATGTGCAGAGATATACAAACCAAAGTAAACAAATACAGAGGCAAACAAGAAGAACGGCATGGAGTAGAAGGCACAACCCGACCGAAAGCTAGTTCTTTGAAAAGCCTAATGAAAAGATAAACCTCTGCTAAGAATAATCAAGGGGCAGAAAGGAGAGCAACAATGCGTAATACTGGCAACGTGCGAGAACACAGCAGCTGAGAAGCTTCCCGTCACCTACAGTCGGGGTCCAACGTGGGCATCAATTTTCTGAATTTTAGAGCCAACTTCATTCATTCAATGTTCATGGGTGTGCCCGAGAAATGGATGATGGAGACCCGCATCCCATCTGAAGCTCACCTGCTCTGTCTACCAAGACAAAGCCAACACAGCAAATCCGTATATCGGTGCCAGGTAGCAGAAGAGCCTCGAAGAAAGGCAGAGCGTTTTAGGAGCAGAGGTGGCTAGGAGGCCATTTTACACAGAGGTCAGAAAAGGCCTTTGCAGACTGGGTGACTAAGCAGGGCCATAGAGGACATGGGAAAGCAGGCTGTGAGCAAATGTGGGAAGAGAACAGCCAGTGCAGAGGTCCTGACACCAGGAAGGCGCACGGCGCGGGCCCAGCACAGCAGGGTGTGAAGCAGTCCCGGCAGGGCGAATGCGCTGCGAGACCACCGTGCACCGCCGAGACGCGGCCAGGAACACCAGGAGGCCAAGCTCACAGCTTCCTAGTGGCAACCGCCTGAGACTGTGTGTGATGTGAACTGATAGGACCTTAGAGGGGGAACAAAGAGGGGAGAGGGGTTTTCGGGGGAGAGGGGTGGAGAGCAAACAAGATTTCTGCTTAAATAGTCCCTGTTGATTCAGAATCATGTTCAGTTGTAATTGGCAAAGTTGCAATATGGAAGAAGAGTAAACAAAACCCAGTTTAATCAGGAGAATTGATGTACCCCCCAGGACCTTCACCCCCTCCATGTCACCATGAAATATAAGGTACCCCATATGCTGGCTCTAACCACAATGAACCTGAATGAGGGCATTTGTTTAGTTTGAAATGAAACCACGGGATGAGATGCTACCTCTCACACCAAAAGGAACGAGAAGGAGTTTGGGGGAATTAGATGTATCTGTCTGTAGAAGTAGTCAGGACTATTTTTCAAAATTGAAAGGGAAAAAAAGGCAATATCTTGGTTCTTTGTGGGCACTGAGGTCTTGCAGGGGGCAAGAGAAATCCAGAAACAAATGGTAAAGCAGGAAGAGCCCTGGATTCAGAGAGCCGTCGGAGGCCAGCACCGGCCCTTCACCTCCCCGTGTCTGAAATTCGTCCAGGGCTTTCTAAGCACTCCTGCCTCAAAACTAGCTGCTGAGCAAGGAGCCAGTAAAAAGGAAAGCCCAGTTCCCTGGGGAGTCTCCGCCTTGACCAATGCAACGCTGCTTTGCGGGGCAGGCAGGGTCGCGCCAGACTGATTGAAAATCTGGTGTCTCCACCAGAAGCCCCCACGAGGAACCTGTGAAGACAGCAGCCAGTTCTTCCCATCACGGAGACAAGTGCGCCAGATGAGTTTCTGAAGGTTTAGTCAATAGCACAAAAGTTCGGTAGGTGCAGCACACGGGGCAAGAAGGTCTGAGTTTCTGGACTAATTCGAAACCCCCCCCCCGCCCCCGCCGCCTTGGAGGTGGTGAAGACTGAGATGGGAGGGGTCTGGCGCTGGGTAGAGATCTCCTTGCAATGGCTTCCTTCCCAGAGAGGCAAAGAGCTTTCTGTTCCTTCTCTCCATTTTACAGTTGACCAAATTACAATAAGATTTGTTTCAGACTTTTCTTTTCACTAAGAGATACTCCAACTCTAGCCAATTCCTTCCATTCAAACCCGGACTCGTACACAGATGTAGCTTCCTGTGAATTGAACAGCCATGATTAAATGTCGTTCTTCAACTTTTGACTGTAGACCAAGCCGACCTGGCAAGGTGCTTTCGTATCATCTAACTCTAACCTGTCTTGAGCATTGAAATCGTTTCTAATGCCCTCCTATCAAAACATTCCTTCAACTACCTGAGGACAACAAATTGGATTTTTCCAGACTTCCCGCATCTGTTTCCCAACCACTTCCATATGGCATCCCTCTCCCCCTCCCCAGGCTCACCCGTCCACCTCCCCATGCTCCACGGCAGCTTTCTCTTGAGGTAGGAGGCAAATACGATGCCCAGCGGGGCAGGAGGGCAAAGTGCCCTCAGCATGCCTGTCTGCCTGTGTGCACACACGTCGGGGTGGGAGTGGGGGGTTTTAAGTAAATGTCATTTTGCAGCTCATGCCCCAGTGTCACCGCTGATGCCAGAGAGAATTCCATTATGGACAGGGGCAAGCTGCAGGCTGAAGTGCAGCCAGGCAGAGGCCGCGCCCCTGAGGGCAGGTGGGTGCGCTGGGGAAGCTTACCTGGCCAAGTGCATAGAACAGCCTCAGCTGGCACCCTCAGCCCCTCCCCCCCGTCAAGAAGCTTAAAAATAGACAAGAGCAGCAGGCGAGTGGACACTGCTGCACGTACAAGTATGAAGCCATGAAAAGCAAACACAAAAATGGTATGTTTCTAGAGGAAGAAGACACTCGCAGACCCTGGGTCCTGACCGGTACGCAGTCCATCCTCCCCCACACCCTCAAAGGCAGACTCTTCTGAGATACAGGCAACCCTGCTTTTGCCCTCCCATCTACTGCTGAGAAATTAGCCGAAGGGAATTTCATTTTTTCTTCCCCTCACAAATACCATTACAAACACTAGCCATGAACAAGCTTGGCCGTCAGGGGCACAAGGAGCTCCTTCCTTTCCTGCCGCCTGCTGCTGTCCTGACCATGGGCACACACAGAAATTTCACTGGAGGCCTCCACAGTGCTACTTGAATTCCTTCCATACTTTTGCTTTGGGGCATGGACAGAGACTTACGGGCCGAGCGGCCAAGTGCATGGTTTCCTTACCCTGCATGATCAGCACCCTCTCACCAAATCCATGGAGGGCGCCCAACTCCTGGCTGAACTGCACGACCCGACACCTGCAGCACCCACATTTGGATGGCCCCGTCGCTTCTGAAACCCCCTCTCTGACCATCGCCCTCACCACTCTCGCAGCTCAGGGCAAGTGCGTTTCTGCATCCGCAGCTCGCTGGCCTCCATGGGTGTGCTCGCAATGGGCGGCCAGCTCCCCTCTGCTCCCCAGGAATGAAAGGCATGTCACAAGCCAACCGGCGGTGCCCAAATACTGCCAGCTAGAGCATCAGAGCCCGCGCCCGCCTCGGTGGGCAAGGCCGGCATCCCCATGTGCCCGGTTCACCCACTGGGCCTGCCCCCCCCCCCCCCCCCCGTCTCCAGAGACTCGCTGAAGAGCAGCACCTGCGTGGCTTTGCCTGACATTTTCTGTGATTTCCCTGAAAGTCAGGGAGGACATGGGTGAGCGGCACAACGGTGGGGCGTTTTCCAGTACATTCGCCAAACCCGGGAGGTGCAAGCAGCCCCCTGCACCTAGCTGCGGGCACAAGGCCAGACACTGGGGTTCCCGTCCCCATCAGCTTCACCTTCCACCCATTACCTGAACTCAACAGGGCTTCCAAAAGGGGGCTGATTTTGCTACAGGATGGGGAGAGGGCTGTGGGGGTGTTGACTCACTTCAGGGCGCTGTCCACCCAGGGCAGACGCTGGCCGTGGCTTCTCATTGGCAAGCGCTGACCCTCCTTGCAAACCACCCCAAGGCCAGGGGCAAACCCTCCAGGTGACCAGCACCTCTTGAGTCAAAAAGTTGCTGTTTTACAAGTCTTAAGTGCTCACCAGGCTACCTCCTTGATCCTGAGAGCTCTTACCCTTCTTCATACAGAATTACATCAACTTTGCAGACACCCAAGAGGCAAAAACATACAAACTCAGAGACCTGGGGGGCCGCTGCAACCCTGGGATGTCAGTTTCAGTGATATCTCACTCCTCTGGCTTCTCGGAGCGTGGGGCGCTGGTATCAACAGCATCACGAGCTGAGGCGACCGTGCCACATCACTGTTTCTCCCTCTGATCAACAAAGCATATGAACACAATCTAACCTTCTTTCTTTCTAAAAACCAATCACTGTACCAAGAAGTAAGACAGGGCTCTAGGGTTCTTAGGGGCTCTCTGTCCCTGCACCGGCTCCACAAACCCTCGTCCTTTTGAGTTTCTGTGCTTTGTGGCAAGCTAGTTCTTGTGCCTCTTTCTTCGTTGTCTGAAGCTAGTATTTCAGTGAGTGTCTGGCATCATAACCACATGACTAAATACAGATACAGACTCAGAGAGAGGTAAAGGGAGAGGCAGTGATAGAGAGAGACAGACAGAGCTCTTTGCTAGGCTCACTGCCTGCTGGCCACATGAAGACAAGGGGATTATAATCTAGGTGCATATGTGTAAATAAATATATAGAAGACTTCTAATTATATGTACACCTTGTAAGCATTTAAAAGATACTGGCTAACCTTACTTCCACAGTCTATGCTGATTTTCTGGGTGATTAGAATATGGCCCCAGATTCTTGTTCCTGCACTTGTGCCCCTGTGATGTGACACTGAAGACCACCCAGCAAGCGGTGGAGTCAGTTTTCCCACTCCTCCTTGAATCAGAGTTGGTCATGTGACTTCCTTTGGCCAATGGGCTATCAGCAAACATAATGCAGCATAGGCTTGGAAAGGCTCTTGGGAACTGGGGTTTGCCCTTAGTGGGGGCCCTGGGTCGACCCTGACTTAGCCTGCTGGAGGATACAAGGTTACCCAGGAAAAAGGCAAGGCCCACTAGCCAGCAGTCATACCCTGGCAAACATCCTGCCAACAGCCAACCAACCCTGAATGCCAGTCATGAGTCAAACAGCCTGCCTGCCACGGATTCGCACATGTGCCTCAGAGAGGTTACCTGAGCCAGTGCAGAGCAGATCTGCCCAGATGCACCACAGAGTCATAAGGCAAGTAAATAGTTGTTGTTTTAAGCTGTGAAGTTTTGGGGTGGTCTGTTATACAGCGCCAGCTATCTGAACTAGAACTTCTAGGGTCCAAAACACACTGCCATGTACAATTCTTATTCTTGAATCCTTGTCTGCTAGACCTCTGTGACCAGCGCAAGACTTGGATGTTGTAAGGCATTTAAAACACACATATATGCATACACACCCCAAACCCTGTGCCTTGGCTAACCAGTTTTTCTAAAGAGAGCAAAACCCCCTCAAGATGTTTCTATTAAAAACAGCTTAAGAGGAAAGGCTTCTTGCTATAATTATAGACACACAGATGGGATCTAGAAGTTGTAACGTAACAAGCAGAAAACTTCGTGGGTGGAAGGGACATTAAGACAAGGGACGGACTCTAAACAATTACCAGCTTCCACTCCCACAACATGGGACTCGTTCAGCCAAGGGACTAGAAGTGGCCCAACACCATCCCCTCTGGAAAGCTTTCCTCAACTGTTCTCACTGACATCGGCCTCCCAGGCTGGCTGCCTCTACCTGGAGTCTCCATTTGGGTTTTAGGTCCCAGATGGTGCCAGGTGGCATTTGTGTCTGTGGCTTGCAAACAAACCACTACACTTTTTGAAAGTAGAAACTGGCCTCAACCCCTCACAGTGCCTAGGAATGTTCCAGGCACAAGTTAAGTAGTCAAGAAAATCATGTCATGCTGTACACATTTATTTGTAAAAACTCACTGGTCCTAAGAGAAGCTCTCTGACTCCTGTCACCAAACAGACTCACCCCGAGGCCCAAACATTTTGTCCCAAAGTCACTATTTTGTCTTTGGAGTAATGGAGCAGTGTCCCAGTGAGTCCATACACAGTTCCCAGTTTCTTTCTCCAGTTGCTGTTGATGGACATTTAGGTTGGTTCCATGCCTTGGCTATTGTGTTACTGGATGACCTCACTCCTTGCAGAACACAAATATACGTGATGAAAGCGAAAGGCAACACAACAAAAATCACTCCTAGACTGTGAAAAATAAACTGGTTTCCCGAGGGGAAGGGAGTGGGGAAGGAGGCAAAGAGCGATGGGGGAGGGGCAGAGGCTGTGCTGGACCTTTGGCGGAGGACGAGGGAAGCACTGCACGTATGAAGGTAGGAAGATGTAGGACAGAAGTTACATAGTTACGGAAATGATTGGCGGATCAATCCAATTCAAGACAAAATATTAATTAGTTAATAAAAGAACCTCTTCTAGTTAAAGCTGAAGACGGATTTTGTGCCCATGGAGAGGCAGCTTAGCAAGAACATCCAAGACAGTCTCTAAAGCCAGACCACATGGATTTGATCCTTACCCTCCAAATCCTTACCCTCCAACTGCCCCTCAGTTTCCGCATCTATGCATGCAGGTAACATAAGCAGCTACCTTGGGTGGCGTTAGGAGGATGAACCGAGGTGATGAATGCCAAGCATGTATCAATAGCACCGAGCAAACGTCAGAAACACTATGTTCAGTGAAAGAAGTCAGTGACAAGATACCGTGTATTATATGATTTCTTTGACGTGAGTTCTCTAGAAAAGGACAATCACAGAGCCAAAAAGTAGCTTAGTGGCTACTGGGGCTGGGGTCTGTGATTGTAAGTGGGAGCAAGAGATGAGAAAAATGTTCAGCAAGCAGATGGCGATGATGCACACATGAGTTTGTGGGCTTCCAAAAAGAAATGACGGAATGGCACCCATAGAATAGGTGAATGTAAATGGCACCACATATGTAAATGGCACCACAATAAAACTGTTTAAGACAATGCACAGGGTTTAGAGAACAGTGCCTGGTTCTGGAATGGGCACTGGGTGCTCAGCAATTAAACTAAGTAACCTTTCAGAAAACATGGGCATGATCCTGTTCCCAAGGACGCTGCACAGCCTGGTCTTCCGAGCCCTTGTTCACCCCACCTCCTCGCTCCAGGGTTGTAAACCCAGGGATCTTCTTCCCATGAGTCCAGGATGCCTCTAAGCCAGCCATATGTGTCTCCTTGGCTGCTACTGTCCCTCCCACTGCCAAAATGCTCCACAGTTTATTAAATGCCTCTTGTTTATGTAGCTCATGATGCCAAGCTGTATTTTATTACACTGAGCCAACTGCTCTTATGCAAGGTTTTGGGGAGGAGGTGTTGGGAGGAGGGAACGATCACACTATTGAGGGAAGGAGGTTCCCTAGAATCATGACTCCCAAAACAGCTGCTGATTACTCACATAAGCCCACACATCCCTGTCCTTGATGAATGTCATGCCACAGGGTAGCTTTAACCCTGATCAAAGTCTAGACAACAATAGCCTCTTGGGCAGAAAAAGGAAGTTATTGGGGAGGGAGATGAGTACTCAAGAAAGTGAAAAGGGAATGTCGGGGGAAGACCCAGTTGGAAAGAGATTCACAACAAGATCTGTTGCAGGCACAGAAGCAGGAGGTTTGTTGGAAATAAGTCCCTGGAACAGACATGAGTTTCGAGCATACAATTCTTGTCAACTGTGGCTTCAGCATCTTGCCCAAGCATCTCCGTGGGATTTTCACTGCAGCCTTCATCATGACCTTCACACCGGATCACATATTCGGTTGCTCACCATTCCCCACACCCATGCTGCTGTAGAGTGATCCTTCCCAGCCACAGAGGCGCTTCCATCCAGCTTCTCCCAAGGCTTACGGCTCCATCTCCCCACTGTCTCCTCAGACTTGGCAAGATGGATGCCTGGAACAACGCCCATACCTAGTATGACTGCTTCTGCTGCAGACTGTCAAGTAGCCACCTTCATTCCAAGGTTACTGAGTGAGCGCTCACTTTACTGACAGAACCACGTTCCACACCCTAGCGGTGCTTCTTGACCATAAGCATAAGCCAGGAACCCCTGGAGAAAGGTTCACCCAGCTCCCTGGGCCCTACCCCCAGTGCTCCTAATTCAGTGAGGCCAAGGCCGGGCCCCTGACTCAGCATGTATACCAAACTCTCCAGGCAACGACCTAGAGGCAACAGAGGTGAACCATACACGAAGCGGCCCTCAAGCTGCTCATCATCCCTGACTGGAAATAAGACACATGCACACATGAACACATACAAAACAGAACCGTATCATGTCAGATATGATATTTGCTAGCCTAGTGAGACCCGGCCAGCCAGTGAGGAAAGTGGAGGGGAGAGGCGGGGCTGAAGTGAGATCTGTGCATCCACAATG